TTAATTTTTTGATTAGAATTAAGATTAATTATATGACAAATTTGCAAGTCATAGAATTGTAATAGTTCGATCATATGAAAAATATAACAAATTGATTAATTAGTATATTTTATCAATTATGATTAATTGTATGATAAGTTTGCAAGTCATACAATTGCAATAGTTCGATCATCTGAAAGATATAACAAATTGATTATTGTATTTTACCAATTATAATTAATTAGTTGAAAAGTTTGCAAGTCATGCAATTGCAACAACTCGATCATGAAAATTAACATATAATCAATAGAATTATATTACAAATAAATATTATATTAAATTATAAATCATATACTTAATTACTTATCAATTTGATTATCAGTTATCACAATGTTTACATATGATGATTTAGGAGTTTAACATTTAGTAACTAAGACGTTGTGTATAGGTAACCTTATTGTTGTCTTATAGGGCAATGCCTTACGACCGCGTCGAGTGGCCTTTCCTCTTACATATCATGGACTACTTAGGCTTTTGCTCGGAGTGGCTGCATTGGGTCAAGACTTGCATCTCTACCGTTAGCTTCTCAGTCATGATCAATGGGCGATCGCATGGGTACTTCAAACCTCAACGTGGACTACGCCAAGGTGATCTGTTATCCCCCCTTCTCTATGCATTATATACTGAAGCCTTATCTGCTAAACTAGGGGCTGAGATCAATGCTGCTCAGCTTCATGGTCTTCGTGTTCATCGGCATGCTCCTCTAACGTCACATCTTTTGTTTGCGGATGATACTTACCTCTTTTTGCGTGCGTCTATTCCGGAGTGTACCTCTCTATTGTCCCTTTTGCACTCCTTAGAGGAAGTTAGTGGGCAGAAAGTTAATTTACTTAAATCCTCTTTGTGTGTGAGTGCTAATGTGAGTGACCAGGGGAGGTCTGCTCTTTGTGCTTGCTTAGGAATTGCAGAATCCACTCTACAAGAAAAATATTTAGGGCTGCCTGTTCACATTCAGCGTTCTAAAACCCAGACGTTTCGGTTTGTAGAGGAGGGCCTTGCTGCTAGGGTTCGATCTTGGAAATCCAAAGCCATGTCTTTAGCTGCGAAAGAAGTAGTGATTAAGTATATAGGTTCTGCTTCCTCGATTTACACTATGTCTGTGTTTCGCCTTCCCTCTTTCACTTGTCGCAAGTTGAATGGGCAGCTATCTCGGTTCTGGTGTACGGATCAGGATAAAGAAGATGGTATACACTGGCTCTCCTGGCAAGAAGTTTGCTACAGCAAATTTGAAGGGGGTCTCGGGTTTCGAGACTTTGAGAGGTTTAACATAGCTCTCTTGGCGAAGCAAGCCTGGCGAGTGCTGCAGAATCCGACTTCCACATTAGCACATCTGTATCGAGCTCGTTATCACCCACATTCTTCCTTCCTGGAGGCAAAGGTGGGATCTAGACCCTCTTGGGCTTGGCAAGGGCTATTAGCCGGTCAGGATCTCCTCTTACGAGGGCTTCGGTGGCGGGTTGGTGACGGCGCTCGCATCCGCATCTTAACAGATAAGTGGCTTCCTTCTGACCCTCCCTCCTCTCCTACTCTTCTCTCTGGTATCAGTTGGTGCCCCTTGCTTGTTGCTGATCTGATCTTCCCGGAGTCTCGATCTTGGAATCGGGCTTTGCTAGTTTCACTGTTCACCAGCGAGTCTGTCGAGTTGATTCTTTCCATCCCCCTCTCCTTTCGGCTGCTGCCGGACCGTTTGATTTGGCATTATGCGGCTAATGGCGAGTACTCGGTTAAGTCGGGGTACCATGTTCTGTCCAACGAACTGAAAATTTTCTCATCCTCCATCTCCTCTTCCTTTTGGCAGCAGGTTTTGGAAGCTACTTTGGAGTCTCCCGTTGCCGCCCAAGTTAAAAAATTTAAGCTGGAGGATGGTGCGCGGCTTTCTCCCAGTTCGCGCTGTTCTTCTATACAAAAGACTGGTTACGGATGCAACCTGCCCGGTTTGCTCACAGGGACCAGAATCTATTATGCACTCATTCTTCACTTGCAGAGTTGCTATGGAATTATGAGATTTGGCTGGTTGGGGGCACTTGCGCAGGACCCTTGAGGGACTCTCACATGCAGATTGTTGGAACCTTTTATTCTTTTCCTGCCATCTCACTAAAGTTAACATTGCAGATATAATCTTCATTTGTTGGCGAGTTTGGAAGGCAAGATGTTGGTCCATTCATAAACATATCCAGTACCGGGGGTGTGCTCTTCTTCGTCAGTACAGGGCTCAGGTAGATGAATGGGTACACGCCACAGCTCCTATGACATTACATCAAGAGCCCTCGCGATCGCGTGCTCCCTCGGCCCTCCGCCAAACGCAGCCTGTTGCTGCTGCCCGTGATGGTGTTTGTCCCGCCGGTGGAGTGCTTGTTCGATTTGATGGGTCTTGGAAAAAAGGAGTAGGCGGTGGAATCGGCTTTACCGGGTTCTCTCCTGCAGGTGAACTCCTCTTCGCAATTGGCAAGTATTACTCAAGTATAACAGATCCCTTTATCATGGAAGTGTTAGCTTTAAGGGATGCAATCGATTGGTGTCTAATGCATGGGTTCTTTGTTGTGAATTTTTGTGGTGATTCCCAATTACTAACACATCGAGTTCGGGAGAAGGATGTCGCGCATGGTGCTGGAGGGGCTCTGCTCGAGGAAATCTGCTTTGCTGTTGCTGGTTTCTCTTGTTTTTCTTGTACTTTTACACCTAGGTTGTACAATAGGGCTGCCCACTTAGTGGCTTCTAATGCCCTCTCATCGGCAGTTCGGCTAGCGACCGACTGCCGCGTTTGACTTTTAAGTATCTTGTAATATCTAATTTTACCCTATCTATGCAAAAAAAAAAAAATTGCCTAATTTGATATAGTAGACTTTGGAACAATATAATGATTTATCTTATCTTAAAAAAATCACTCGAACTATCTCAAATGCATATTATTTTACATTATAGATCATATACTTAATTATTTACCAATGTGATTTTCGCAATATTTATAGTTATGAGTTAAGAGTTTAGCATATAGTTAGTTACCTAGACATTAGTAAATCTTATTATAGACATATAAGGCATGACTAATTGCGTATAGTAGATTAGAGAACTATCATTAATGCTTCTACATTCCTTGTCACTATGCTCTACATGATCGTTATTACTTATTATAATACTAAAGTAAAAATTTGGCACATTTGTGGTGTGCTCGAGTTGCATTTTAGTTTCAAAATGAGGGTCTAGATTGGTCTGTCTCTTCATAACATTGCAATACTCAATTATCCAAAAGAACTAATTAGTCATACCATTGCAACCCAATCAACTCATGATCCGTATAACCCAACCCGAGTCTGTCCGAACGCACCCGCTTGGCGAGAAATATATATGACTGTTCCACCAGAATATAATTAATCCGATGGAATTTGATGCTAATGTTTATCCATTGCATAAATTTTTCAATGAACTAATTGTTGGGGATATGATATATTTTATTTGTTAAAAACTGTATCTAACTACTGAAAATATTTAACAATAAAATAATCAATTAATAAAAATAATAATACATATGAAGTAGCAAGTTATGTACAGCCGTACAGGTGGGAGAAGGATAGGTTTGGTCTATTTCTCCAACTAATGAAGTAGCTACAGACCTACAGTTAGCAATATATATTGTGGAGCAGACTGGCGGGAGAAGGACGCGGGAACAGGCAAAGGGAAATGGCAGGAGGAGTACTTGACGTGCGAACTGGAAAGTGGCGAAGATAACTGGCGGGAGTGTTGGACAGGGGAACTGGCGGGAGGAGGAAAACTAAAACAAATCTATACAACTAGTAAACTGTCATCCTCTTTTCAACCAAGAGTCCGAGTAGAAAGAAACTGCAATTGTAGCGGTTACTTTTTTCTCTTACATTTAAATATTTGCCCGCATAACCAAATCTAAACCGCATTTAACAAAAAAATAATAATGAAGAATTACCACTTGAACATTGGTACCCGAGATAATTATGTTCAATGAAATTCACACATAAATGAGCACTTCTAGTATGCTATATAGTATTGGTGCTTTAATGTACAACTTAAAGTTGTACCATAACATTAAATGTATAAGTTTAGGTTGTACCATAAAGCAATTTGTACTATTATGTTATGGTACAACTTTACAACTTGAAGTTGTACCATCACATAAAGGTACAAGTTCAAGTTGTACCATAAAAGAATTTGTACAAAAAGTATAGGTACAATCTGAAGTTGTACCATAACATAAATGTACAATTTTAAGTTGTACCATAAAGGCAAAAACCTATAGCACCAATACTATATAGCATTGTAAAATTTCTCCACATAAATATATATTTCATAACATTAACAAGTTTATTTGACTCTTATAAATACATATATGAGCTAGGCAGGAAGAACTTGGCCAAAAGTTGTGAAAAATATTTAAAATTTGTGTAATAAAATGTATAAGTTGTAGTAACGAGTAAGAAGTAAGTATCTAGATGCGCTGATCCGAACAATCCACAATTCGATCGGATCGATCCGCCCGTAACCTGTCTGACTTGCAACCCGAACAACCCGTAACCTGATTGGCCCGTAACCCGATAAATTCGCAACCCCATAAACCCACAACCCGAATGACCCGCAACCCGATGAACCCTAAAACGACTAACTCGCAACTCGGTTGAACCCGAACCCGACTAACCTGCAACTCAATTGAACCCAAACCGAACCCGCCCAACCCACCCGATTGACACCTATAGGCAGAGGTTAGAACCAGAAGGCCTGAGTTCAGGTCCTTAAACCCCCTTTCTTAAGGAGGATCTTAAAGCGTTGTGATTGATTGTTGTGGTTTTAGATAGTTAATGAGTTATTAGTTAATTAGTTGTTAAAGATATTTAGGGAATTATAAATAATATAAAAACTCAAATAATTAACCCTACTAATCTATAAACCCAGGTCAAATCTTTTCTTCTCCTCCCAGCCGAACTGTTTCTCTGTCAATGTTTTCATCAATTTGCGTTCTCCGACCAATCCTTCAACTGCGTTCTCCGGCGATCCCTACGGCTCCCCGCAACGGTCTCCGCTGTCGGCTCTCCACTGTTCCACACTGCTACCTGGACTTCAGCTTCGTCCGCCGTCCATTCTCACCAGCATCCAGGTCTCTTTGTTTCCTCTACGTCGTCCTTCGTCGGGTCAGCAGCCGCGTCCTCCCCGTCGTTCTTTGTTTGGGTCGGCAATCGCGTTCTCCCCGTCGTCCTTCATCTCGGTCGGTCGTCGGGTTTGGTCGTCTTCTCCGTTACAGGCCTGATTGGGTTGCGTGGGTTTAAAGTTTACTAATGTTTTTATTGGATTATTTCTCTAAATACAGTAATAATTAAAAATAATTCTCAGAATACATAACTTTCATAAAAATTTCCCAAACTACCTAAGTTTGACACAGTTCGAGTTCAATAAACTCGAACTACATCATAGAACGACGATTAAGAACTCGATCCACAATCAAATCGAGTTTTTAAAACTCGATCAAGAATAGATCTATTTTTCATGACTCGATCGAGCAGGATAGATGACAAAGGACTCGATCTAACCATATCGATTTTTAATAACTCGATCTAAATTGATCGATGCCATAAAAAACGATCAACAAAAATGACTTTAGAAACCTCGATTTGTATCTGCACCAGATCGATGCCTTGTGACTCAAACAAAGTGGATCGATTGGCCTGGCCTCGATATACTGTTCAATTATCGCCAAAGCACTTTCCCCCCGACATGCTTCAGGATAGGGTTGCAGGGATAAGATTCTTTGTTGTATTGGATCGAGTTGTTTGAACTCGTACTACACTAGTTCGATTGCCCTAGACTCGAACCACTGCCCAATTTTGCTGCTCAGTCGCTTTCGGCCCGACATGCTTCAGAATAGGGTGCAGGGGTAATATTTTATTGATTGTATATGATCGAGTTCTTTGGACTCGAACTATGGTAGTTCGATTACCTAGGCCTCGACCCACTGCATCAGTTTACGAAAATAAAAAGCAAACACTCAGCACATTCTTGCTTCTCTTATACTTTCTATCTTCTTTCTTCCAAACACAAACTGCAGCAGCTGAAGCACCATAGCTGAGCAAAGAAAAAAAATGGAAGGTAAGTTCTGCTTACGTTGTTGAATGAGCATATTAGAATTTTGGATTAATTTAGTTATTGTGTGGACTGTATGTAATGGGCTGCTTCTATAAACTGCAAAAATGGGTAGAAAACTTCGAAAATTCGACCTATTGATTCGGTGGAATGGTCGAATTACACATTTTCAGAATAGTATTGACTACGAAGATGGTGAATCAAGTACTGTCCGTATTGAGAGCATATTTACTTGGCAAGAACTCAACAACATTTGTGTGGAACGATGTTGTATAAGAGGGCGAAGAGTATGCAAGATGACTTACCGTATGCCGGTTTACAAGGATTATGCACTTGTATATGAAGGATCAGTTCTGTCTGACGATGATGACATTAATATGATTGTGAGATTTATTGTAGAAAGATTTCCAATTGCTAAGGTGTATGTCGATACCGAAGTTGTTGGCCAATATGGTGGTGGCGATTATACTGAACAAGATCAAGGATCGGGAGGGATTTCCGGTTCAGGAGATTTCAGAGTTCTGACGATCCGTCTCCGAATTCCCTTCTGACGGGGGGAATCCATACTCGTATGGGTCAAGAAGTGCCACATCATCTCGTACTTGCACCGGGACTGTAACTGGCTCTTGCCGACATTTACTCCTCCTTGGTGGCGATGCCGAGAGGGATTCAACTTCAATGGCATGGGAGGTAGGACGTGGCGATGCAAGTGCAGGAGGATGTGCAATGGCATACCTTCGAATTTCCCGTGAACATGACAAGAGATTCTTGAAGAGCTTCTTCAAGAATGAAATTTTCTCAGGTGGCACATTTTGTTCTGGTTCACTCTCCAACGTCGTTGATGCAAATTCCAAACCATCAACCTAGGTAATAAACATGTTAGTCAAACACTCTTTGTGTAGCTAAAGTTTTTATAGTAAATAGATATTGTGCTTGCCAACGAACCGATCACGGCGCCACGTTTGGTTACCCATCTTTTTGTGAACTTGCGATACCAAACCATGTATTCATTTTGGTACCCCATTGGTCTCGTCATTGGGATGTCATCAATTGCATACGTCTTACGAGACTCCCACATATCAATCCATCTATTGTGCTAGGTTGGCAAATCACTAATTGTACCCCGCAAATCCTTGTTGTACTTGAGGAGTGACTTATGTACGTCCGGTGGTGGGAGAGGAATCAGTTGCGTCCAATTATATTGTCGGACACATCTATCCGGAAGGTGCCACTTGACAATGTTGTGGCAAATCATAGGCAACTTGCACGACCAGAGTCGACGATCCTCAGGGTATCGCAACTCGTACAAATTCGTTGCTCCGTTCGGATACGGATCCCACTACACCTAAGTTTCAACACAACAAATAATTTAAAATCCATGCCAATAATTTCAACAAATAAAATTGGATTCATAATCATAAAAATAAATCATGGGCCAAGACAAATAATTTCAACAAATAAAATAGGATTCGTAATCATAAAAATAAATCATGGGTCAAGAGAAATAATTTCAACAAATAAATTAGCATTCATTTTCATAAGCTAGAATGTTACCTCGTTGAATTCTATACGGTCAAGATGTTGGCGGTACCCGTCTAGAGAGGTGAGTCTCGTGATAGCTCCAATCCATCTAGCACCATAAGCCCATTGTCGTAGTGGCTCTTCGGGACCCCATTTGTTGGCAGGGCAGATCGGAGCGAAAGTAGGAAGGTGCTCACAAACCCATAGTTGGAGGATGAACATGGGACCACACGCTTGGTTTGTTTTTGGGTCTGTACACTTGCACAACTCCGAATATATCATCGCCAAACAAGCAGAACCCCAACTTTTTCTCCCAATCTCGTCTTAATCTCCCAAAAGTACTCGAAGCCACATACAATGCATATTTCCACCAGACTTGTTCGGAAACAAAAATCCTCCAACCTAACAAATCAGATAGATGCGAGCATACCTCTCTATCTGAGCATCCGTGGCATCCTTCGGTAATTCTCCAGCGGTCCTCACTAGCCAAGGTATCAATAACATAGACTTGTGTAGAGGTGGTATACGAAGACCTTGTGGTGCTTCCTCGGGGATGTTGATCCCTAAACGATCGCTTATAAATTGGTCCCAACCATTCAATGGTTTCTCTGAACTTTCTATTATGGCATCACCATCGATTGGAAACTCTGTCAGTATGGCCACGTCCTTCAACGTAATCGTCATCTCTCCCTCCAGAAGGTGGAATGTGTGTGTTTCTTTTCTCCATCTTTCCACCATTGCCGTAAGAAGGTTTTTCTCCATCTTCATCCCCACAAACTTTCGCACCCGCAGCAATCTCGCTCTTTCAATGAAGGGTTCGATCCGATCAACCCATTTAGACAAGCGAGATAGCGATTGATGGGTGATTACGCCAAGTTGTTCCAGTAGAAAAAAAAAGTTTAATTATTATACAAAAAAGTAGAAGAATACTATCACATTTAAAAAAAGAAAAGTACATGAGGAAGTGCTTACCGGATCTTCCGCCCAAACACTTTCAGACCGATGGTAAGGTTGCTCATCCAACAAATCGGTTTCTCGCGGTCCACCTTGAATGTATAATCTAGGATCTTAAATACTCGGATCCATCTCGGTAATTTGAGTTATAGAAGTACCAAACTAAAGAAAAAAATTGATGCGGAAGATCGGGCTTAGCCGCAACCACATAGCATTTTTTTTTTCTTCAAGAGTGGTGGGAGGGAGGAAGAAAGGAAGAAGAATGGAGTGGGGTGAGTTTTGGTGGAATGGAAGGGGGTATTTATATGTTCAGTGGGAGGTGGTGGATCAAGTTTATGTCACTTGAACCAGTGCATCGAGTTTAGAGCAGTCGATCCGCTTCAAAAGTAGATCGAGAGACGGTAGATCGAACGACACAGATCGAGTTTTACGTACTCGATCTACGGTAGAGCGTGTCCGACGTCATCAATTCGCGTCTAGCATATCGATTTCCAAGGACTCGATCCACTTACATCGAGTTCTGCCCACTCAATCCTCGTCACCACTTCATCACGAATATGGCCATCGAACGGTGGAGATCGTTTTCATGTAACTCGAGCTACGGTGGAGTGCTGCCTATGTCATCGATCCATGTCAGCCTGTTTGAGTCTTCTGTACTCGATCTACGTAAGTTGAGTTTAATAACCTCGATCCGCATCGTCCTACGCCAGCCAATCGTGGCCGTTTCGCTCGATGCACGTGGATCGATGGCTTGGTAGTCGATCCGGAACTAGTTCGAGTTTATTGAACTCGAACCGTGTCAAACTTTGGTTATTACCCTATTTAGGGAAATAATCCGTACGGCTCCCCGCAACGGTCTCCGCTGTCGGCTCTCCACTGTTCCACACTGCTGTCTGGACTTCAGCTTCGTCCGCCGTCCATTCTCGCCGACATCCAGGTCTCTTCGTTTCCTCTACGTCGTCCTTTGTCCGGGTCAACAATCGCGTCCTCCCCGCCGTTCTTCGTTCGGGTCGGCAATCGCGTTCTTCCCGTCGTCCTTCATCTCGGTCGGTCTTCGGGTTTGGTCGTCTTCTCCATTACATGCCTGATAGGGTTGCGTGGGTTTAGGGATTACTAATGTTTTTATTTTTAATTTTAATCATTGCATGCGACGTTTTTGCATGGCTGCTAGGGATTAGTAATTTTCCTTTTCTTTTTGTTATCAACAGTTTTACAAGGAATCAAGGATTAGTAATTTCTTTAACCATACCATCAAAGAATTTTCTTTTTTTCGTTATCAATAGTTTTACAAGGAATCAAGGATTTGTATTTTTTTAATCATACTATCCATCTTTGATGCTTCCGCCGGAAGGCAACATGTGCGTTGGAGATGGAGACCCAATATGGTTGACAACAATTAGATCCGATCATTATTAATTATTATTTTCCAGTTTAAACGGAACACAAATGAGTTATTAATAAATTTTAATCTTTATTAACGTTTTGAGAAGAGAGTTATTAATAACATGTACTATAGATATTTATCATTAAGATGCAACATTGTCAATGATTTTGCTTCTGTTATTAACGCTAACACAACTTAATTATTAATAATTAAGAGTGTCATTATTAATGTTTCGATGTAAACTCTTATAATATTAAAGCATTGATTAGTATGTTGACACTATTAATAATAATGCGTATAACTTTAATAATTTATTCATAAGCATTGATG